GCCCAGGGCCCAGGGGTGCCTGGGGGAGAGGGGGGACAGACGTGCTGCTCAGCGGCAGATGGCAGTACGCCTGGCACACACACACCCCCAGTGGGGTGGCCTTGGAGGTGGCCGAGGGGACAGGCTGGTCGCTGGACACCCAAGCCGGACCTGCCCTCTCCCAGCACAACTGCCAAGTTTTCCACAGCCACTTATTTATTAAAGCAGCCTTTTTTTTTTCTCTTTCCACAAGAACAGAGCTGGGTCAGCATCCCAGACTCAGCACCCTCCTACCTGCCCACAGCAACACAACTAACCCCATGCACCATCCCCAGGACTCGCACGTATCCCCAGGATGGGATTCTCTTGCCATTTTGCCCCGTGATGCTCATATGTTTGTTTTTTTTTTCTTGCTGCAGGACTCAAAGGCCCCCACAGGTTGGGGCTCCTCTATCATAAGGGGATGACAGACAAGGGATAGGGAAGAAATTGATTAAATTGGGAATGATCTTGTCCTGCAGGAAATGACACTATACGAGGTGCAGTAGAAAGCATCCTTTGCCACAAAGACGTTCCAGCAATCCGAGGTCCGAAAGGAGACAGGAGACATCCGCAGTGACTAAGCCCTTCCATGGCAATGAAACACGCTGTGGTCTGTCCCAGGAATCCCCTCTGGCACCGACTTCCAGGGCTGGACACAGCAGAGCCAGGGCATCTCCCTGGGCTGCCCTACGGTAATTAAGGGGAGGGGTGGATTCACACCAGCACAGGCAACCCTACAATAACACAAGAGGGGCACAGCTCATTGCCTCTGCAATAACAAATATGAGAGGCACAGCTACCTGGGCAAACCTAAAATAACAAACAAATGAGACAAGGCAGCAAGGATTCAGTCAGAAAAACAGCACGGGGTGTCCAGTTCCCAGGACGCGCGGTGCAATGGGTGTTTGCAGTAGCTCAGCCTGCTCATAAGGTCAGCAGCTTCAGCCTCTGCAAACACCTTATTCCTCTGCTTCCTGCAAGCTGCCAGCCAGCCAGAGTGGGCTGCGAGCTAGGGACTAACGTGGAGCCCTTTCAGCAAGGGGAGATGGGAGCCACGGGAGCCCAGTGCTCTGCAGAGGGAGCCGGGGGCTGGCATGCACTGAAAGCTGCCCAGCTCCCAGTCCAAGTCCAATGCCTCCTGCAGGGCCGAAAAACCACCTGAAACTGACCCCCTTCGTCCTCCCTGGCACACAGAGGTCCCTGCTCAAGTAGCGATACAACAAGGGATGGCTGTGGTGGGACTCCTCCATCTGCTGCTCAGCAGTGGTGTCTAGTTTGGGTCTTTATTTTCCAGTGAGAACCCCATGGATGCCTTGGAGGGATCCCTTTCCTCCACCCTCTGATGTTTTTTATAGCCCAATTTCCTTCAGCAACAAGGCTGAAGCAGTCCCTGCTCATGCACTCGACTCTCTGTTCCCTAATTTGATACTAACAAGACAATTTTGACAAACTGAAGGGCAGAGGTCTCTGACACACAAACTCCTGACAAGCTCTGCACAGCTGGTGAGGGACTTTCCCGGTGCCAACACAAGAGGGAAAGGCAGAGCCGGGGCAGGCAGCACCCACGCAGTCCCCCTGCTTTGCCTCCTGACCAGCTCATCCACATCAACCTGCAGCTGGCCACTGCAGCTGGGACCAGACACCCACGTCAGCATCTCCAGAGCCCCTGTACCCGCCTGCCCAACCTCACCCACCAGCTCGTTTGTTAACCTCCATCTGCCACCTTGGGGCTGGCTCATGGCGGGCAGCGCTGGCACAGCTGCACCTCTGCTCCCGAGGAGACGCCGTCAGGAGCAATGCCCAGTTTCCCCGAATGAGCCCTAATTGTGCCTGTCTGAGACTCAGGAAAGAGGCTGGAGTTCCTCCTCCCTTGCTGTCAGGATCTGGCCTGCTGCGCAGCCCCTTCCTGCCTACTCCCATCCACCTTGCCAACCCGGTGATTGGGTTTCAGGCAGGCGGCTGTTTGCAGAGGCAGAGTATGCTACATCTCCGTATTTCAGTTATGGGCACAAGGCACAGGTAGGAAGGCCCTACTCACCATGTCCCCAGCCAGGGGACAGCGGGATGCAGGAGGTGGGAGGCTCTCACGTCTCCATCCCTTCTCCCCACTCCTCAGGAGGAGGTGACCTCTCAGCAGAGGTCCCAGGCTTGCTGTCCACACAGAAGAATGACATTGCTGGCCAAGCCAAGGATTCCTGGCTAGCCTGGAGGTGGGACCTGGGCTGTAGGCACCTCAAGGGGATGTTGACCCTACAGCCAAAGCAGGAGACTGAACTCAACTCAGAGCCACCCCATGGCTTCATGTCTGGTCTGATGCTGCAGTGCCCGCGGAGGACCCAGGGAAAGAGGGGCGAGCATCTGGAGACGCTCCTGACACAAGTCAGGCCAGAAGGACTGTGCTATTGATGTCCTAACTCATGCAGGCTCCCATGAGCCCTGGGAGGCAGAAAATACCCATAGCAGAGCATGGGTTGTCCTCTGCCCTAGGGCTGAGGGCTTGGGGCCCTCTCCCCACTCTAGGCTGGCCGGAGGGAGCTCCCTAGCAGGAACCATTTCCAACCCTTTCACCCAGCCCCTACAGAAGGGACACAGAGTAGCAAAAGGCACAGTTTCTGGGAAGCTGCAAATTGCTCCTGTCCGGCTGCCTGCTGTCCTTGACAGACACCACCCACAGCAGCCTGTGCACCTTCCTGCACCTGAGCCAAAACCCAGCCTGGGTACTTCTGTGCTCCAGACATTTTGGACATGCGTGAGGTCCCCACAGGGGGTGTGTGTGTACACATGAGGCGTGTGGGAACACTGCCTCCCTGCTTGCTGACATTACAGAGAGGAGCAGGAAGCTTGTTCCAAATGGCTACGAGGCTTGAATTTTTGTAATACATTTTCATCAGTTTCTGGCAGGAAGGTAGGAAAAGTATCTATTGACCGCTGCTCCTAATGAACCGTGCTCGTTACATCCACAGCCCAGTGCTAGAGGACTTGCTGTCCTGTTCAAACACCCAAAAAAAAGCACATGCACCGAAGACGGACAAACACAACCATAGCACAACCTTGATAAACAGCCCTCTTGATTATTACCATTATTTACAGCATAATACACCACTTAAGCAGGAAGGTGTTGGAGAAAGACTTAACGGGGATCTCAGTTAAAACTCTAGCATAGGAACGACAGCAAATATCACTGGTGGAGACCTTGAGAAGTTGCCCAGTCCTTCCTTTGCCCCCCAAACTCATCCATCTCTGTTCAGAGGTGGTCACTGCAAGATGGAAATTAAGGCTTACATTACCCAGGGCTGAAACATAGCTGTTTAGAGAGCAGCAAGTGTCTCCCACTATACAGCACAGTGCAACAGTGCACAATGTCTCTGCTCTCCACTGGGGGAGGATTTCCACCCAGGATGAAGAGTCACCTCTCAGTATTCCCATGAAGGGAATATCCTCAGCTGCAGGACTTCA